GGAGGAGGAGGAGGAGGAGGAGGAGGAGGAGGAGGAAGAGAAGGAGGGGGAGGAAGAGGAGGAAGGGGAGGAAGAGGAGGAGGAGGGGGAGGGGGAGGAGGAGGGGGGAGGGGAGGAGGAAGAGGAGGCGGAGGAGGGGGAGGAGGAGAAGGAAGATGAGGCGGAGAAGGAAGAGGAGGAGTAGGAGAAGGAGGAGGAGGCAGAAGTGGCTCGGGAGGGCGGAGGCCGAAAGGCCGACAAAAACCTGCTGAAAACAGTGGTGCACGCTTAACGTTGTTTGCCTGGCACTCTAAACGTTTTGTTTGCGACTTCCGACGTGCACGCTAAACGCCCATATAATCGCGTATGGTTTGCACGCAATTTTTGACGTGCTCTTTATACGACCCCCGTTTAGATTGCACTTCAAAGTCCCCGTGTGCAATCTACCTGTGGCTACTTGACCGTAGGAGTACAGTGGAAAGCCATGCCAATAACCACCCTGCTTGCCTCCAGGCTGCCCTGGGCTTCTTGGGTTTCGATGGTCTTGCTGTGGAAAGCGTGACGTTCCCACACCAGTAATCACTGGACGTCCTGGGGTCTCAGGGTTGGGTTTCTTGTGGAAGGTTTCTTGTGGTCTAGCTCCTACTGTTCGTGCATGTGTTGTTTGGTTTGTTTTTGTCTTAGCTGAGCAGCAGCAGGAATTATTTTGAGTTTAAGACTTGGTCCAGTTCAGAGCCCTGTGAGCTGGCGCGGGTGGTGAGCTCCCCCTCCTTATCCGCAGCCTCGTTCTGCTCCTCCGTTCTCCATCCTCATTTTGCTCCTCCTCCTCCTCCTCCCTTCTCCTCCTCCTCCTCTTCATCCTCCTCCTCCTCCTCCTCCTTCTCTCCTCCTCTCTCCTCTTCTCCTCCTCCTCCTCCTCCTCCTTCTCCTCCTCCTTCCCTCCTCCTCCTCCTCCACCTCCTCCTCCTCCTGCTCCTGCTCCTCCTCTGGAAGGATGATCTGGTCGGACGAAATCGGATGGGGCTAGGACGAGGATAAATCTGTTCCAGAGCGTTTCGGAATGCACTCGTAGCGTTCCGGAACGCTCTACAGTACCGCTAGATCTAAGGCATTCTCGTTTTGTCCTCACCCGATGTTACCCTCGCCCTGGCCTCGTCTTACGACAGGAGGGGATGGGGAAAGGGGGGGGGCACGAAATCTGCTGCATGCAGCTGTCCCCCCCGTTGCTATCCCCCCCTTTGCCAAACCAGGGAGGGGGGCGGAGAGATCATCTTTTCCACTGCCTCCCACTGCTCTCGCGACCTCGCCGCCCGTCCCTCGTCGACGTTGGCGTCAACGTCGTCCTCGTCGTCGTCGTCGTCCCCCTCGTCGTCGTCGTTGTTGTCGTCCTAGTCGCCGTCGACGTCGTCCTCGCCAACGTCGACGACGATGTCGACGTCGTCCTCGTCGTCGTCGTCCGCGCCGCCGCCGGGGGCCGCGGCGTGCCTCGCGGCCGCCGGCCGCTGCGGGGCCAGGCCCAGTCTGGCGGACGAGCTGCAGGGCGCGGACACGTCGCACGCCCTGGATGAGCTCCTGGACGCCTTCCAGGACCGCGTGGCGCGGCTGAAGGCCAGCAAGCGTCCTTCGCCATGCGGGGAAGCATGTCTCGAGGGAAACGGGTCCCGAGGTTTTTTTGTCGCCGTGGCTTGGAGGCCCTCAGGGCTCTCCATTCGGCCCCCTGGACTGTCAGAAAAGGACTCAGGATGAAAAACGCGTCCTGGGGGTGAAGGCACCAGGGTCCAGGGCCCGCTTCCCTCAGGACCCATCTCCCCCATGCTGTAAGTCTTGAGTCTCCGCCTCTGACTCCTTCTTCTCCCCCTCCTCCCCCTCCTCCTCCTCCTCCTCCTCCTCCTCCTCCTCCATCTCCATCTCCATCTCCATCTCCATCTCCATCTCCATCTCCATCTCCATCTCCATCTCCATCTCCATCTCCATCGCCATCGCCATCGCCATCGCCATCGCCATCGCCATCGCCATCGCCATCGCCACCTCCTCCTCCTGACCTCATTCGTCATACTCCCGCAAGGTGGTGCCCTCGCCCTGTACACGGTCTGCCTGTAGACGGGAGTGGACCTCAGGGGGAACTGCGTCTCTCTCTGCGTTCCCTTGTCCACCACACCAAGGGCACTACCTGCCGTGGACTGCTGCAGGGGACCGGAGGCTGGACCCTGTCATTGTCGCGGGCTACCAGGGCTTCGACAAGCCTGGGATCCAGGTGCTCGCCTCTGCTTAGGCGACCTGCCACGGCGGCAAGGACGCCCACAGCGTGAGGGATTCCTCTGTGACGGGCGGTTGAAGCGGGCTCGCGTGCGATGCCCCCCGGGATCGACCGCAGCACCTCGCTCCCGCCTCACCACCTGGCTGCCTTGGGCGCTCCGCGGGGCGGGAGACCCGCCGCTTGTCCGGGCTGCGAAGCAGCCTCGGCCCCTGCCGGCAGCACGCCCCGCCGGGCCGCGCGGCGAGGCGCCCGACGGGGGCGCCGGGGCCCTCGCGAGGGGGTCCCGCGCGGCCCGGCTCCGCACAGCGCGCCGGGAGGCCGGGGCCGTGGCCGGGGTCAACCGCCCGCGCGAGTGTCCTCTCGCCGGAGGGACCTTTTGGTGCGGGCACGTGGTGGGCCCCCAGGCGGCCGGAAGCGAGGCAGGAGCAGCGGCCTGCGCGGCCAGGTTTGGTACCCCCGCGGCCCCCCAAAAGCCGCGCACCAACGGTCGCGCTTACCCAGGGTCACTCTTACGCGTGCAGCCGACGCTCGTGCACCGGGGCGTGGCGCTCGCTCCAGCCCCTGGGCAGGGTGCCGGCCGCGTCCAGGAGCCCTTGCCGGTGGCTCGCGGGGCAGTTCGGCCAGATCGCGGGCCTGCTCGGCGACGTGCTTGCAGGTGTGCGCGCGCGGGGCGCCCGCCGACGCTGGTAGCCTCGCAGGGCCTCCGCGGTGGGCCAGAGCAAGGCGGCCGCTTCGCTTTTCACTTCCACAGGCAGCCTGCCTGCTGCACATTCGTGAGGCCATGGAGGCAGGTTTGGCCAGCTGTGATGGCCCATCTCCTGGGCTGCTGGCAAGCCTGGGCCGAGGTTTTTCTGCAAGTGCAGGGTCGTCTGGTTCTTCGGCTGCTACTTCGGCTTCTGCTCCATTAGTCAGTATGTGCGCAGAGTGTAATTCTTTCGTACGGCCTTGTTCTGGGCGGATATCCGGGACCCGGCTTCGCGTTGGGGGACGGCTTGGTCAGCGCGGGCAGCTACGGCGACACCACCAACACGCCCGCCAGCTCGACTCAGGAGGACCCCGCCGTGGAGATGTCCTCGGGCCCCGAAGGATCAAGCGCTGTCTCTAGGTGCACTGGCCTGGCGTCGCCCGTGTACAAGGTCGGGTCCCACTTAATTAGTTGGAGGGGACTTGGGACGGGATGGTGTATTGCATCCTCAGACGGCATCTATACCCGTGGCTGTCCAGGCGATGCCAGGACGGCGTATACACCATAGTGGGGCCCAGGATGGCCCTGGCCAGGCACGGTGGTGGTGTATATGCCTTCTGCGTATTGCAGCATCGTGGAAACATCCTGGCGTTCCTCGCAGCGCTGGCGCCTGCTGGGACTAGTCACGGGCAGCAGGCTGCGAGGCGGCACCTGCCCCTCGAGGGTGCCCAGGCCTCCGCCGCTTGCACACGCCGAGGTTCCGCCCGACCCTCTCCCTGAGGCCTGCTTCGCATCGGGAGCCTCCCATACCTTTCATACCTCCCCGTCCCCCTCCTCTTCTTCCTCCTCCTCGTCCTCCTCTTCCCCCTCATCCTCTTCTTCCCGATCGTCCTTCTCCTCCTTCTCCTCTTCCTCCTCCCGAAGCAGACCCAATGCAGGCCTGGGCGTTTTGGCCGTTTTTAACAAGCACGCAATGGTGGCTTCGTGGCTTTTCCAAAAGATTCCGATGGTGAGGCTTTCCAATAGAATCCCTTGTGGCGCTTTCCAAAGGATTCCTGTTGTGAGGCTTTCCAGTAGAGTCCCTTTGTGGTGCTTTCCAATGGATTCCCGCTGTGAGGCTTTCCAATCGAATTCCTTCGTGGCGCTTTCCAATGGATTCCTGTTGTGAGGCTTTCCAATAGAATCCATGTGTGGTGCTTTCCAGAGGATCCCTGTTGTGAGGCTTTCATATCGAATCCCTTTGTGGCGCTTTCCAAAGGAGTCCTGTTGTGAGGCTTTCCATTGCAATCCCATCGTTGCGCTTTCCCCCGGATTCTTTTTGTGAGGCTTTCCAATAGAATCCCTTTGTGGCGCTTTCCAGAGGATTCCGGTTGTGAGGTTTTTTAATCTAATCCCATCGTTGTGCTTTCCAAAGGATTCCGATTGTGAGGCTTTCTAATGGAATCCCTTTGTGGCGCTTTTTCGAAAAGGGTCCGATTGTGACGCTTTCCAATACAGTACTTTTGTGGCGCTTTCCAAAGGATTCCGGTTCTGAGGCTTTCCAATACAATCCTTTTGTGGTGCTTTCCAGAGGATTCCTGCTGTGAGGCTTTCCAATAGAATCCTTGTGTGGCACTTTTCAAAGGATTCCTGTTGTGAGGTTTTCCAATGCAATCCCTTCGTTGTGCTCTCTAAAGGATTCCGGTTGGGAGGCTTTCCAATCGGGTTCCTTCGTGGCGCTTTCAAACGGATTCCTGTTGTGATGCTTTCCAATAGAATCCCTTTGTGGCGCTTTCCAGAGGATTCCTGTTGTGAGGTTTTCCCATGTAATCCCTTCGTTGTGCCTTCCAAAGGAGTCCGATTGTGAGGCTTTCCAATGGAATCCTTTTGTGGCGCTTTCCAAAGGATTCCGTTTGTGAGGTTTTCCAATCGAATCTTTTTGTGGCGTTTTCCAAGGGATTCTTGTTGTGAGGCTTTGAAATAGAATCCTTTGTAGGCACTTTCCAGAGGATTTTTGCTGTGAGGTTTTCCGATCGAATCCTTTTCTGGCGCTTTCCATGCTGTGAGGTCTTTGTCAATCCAATCCCATCGTTGTGCTTCCCAAGGGATTCCTGTTGTGAGGCTTTGAAATAGAAGCCTTTTTGAAGCGCTTTCCGGAGGATTCCTGCTGTGAGGTTTTCCAATGGATTTCTTTCCTTGTGTTTTCCAAAGGATTCAGGTTGTGAGGCTTTCCAGTGGATTCCTTTTTGTGGCGCTTTCCAAAAGATTCCGATTGTGAGGTGTTCCCAGAAAAAAGCAAAACAAACAAAACAAACAATTTTCGCATTTAATCTGGCTGTCGACTACGGAATAATATCTGAACTTTTTGTTGTTGTTTTTTGGAAGGAAAGCCTCGCAACTGGAATCCGTCGGAAAGCGCAACAAAGGGATTCCATTGGAAAGCCTCACAATCGGAATTGTTTGGAAAGTGCAACGAAGGGAGTTTATTTTAAAGCCTGACAACAAGAATCCTTTGGAAAGCGCCACAAAGTGTTTGTGGCGCTTTCTAAAGCGATTCCTGTTGTGAGGCTTTCCAATACAATCCCTTTGTGGTGCTTTCCAGAGGATTCCTGCTGTGATGCTTTCTAATCGTATCTCCTTGTGGTACTTTCCAGAGGATTCCGATTGTGAGGCTTTCCAATACAATCCCTTCGTTGTGCTTTCCAAAGGATTCCTGTTGTGAGGGTTTCCAATACAATCCCTTTGTGGGATCCCTTTGTCGCGCTTCCCAAAGAATTCCGATTGTGAGGCTTTCCCCAAAAAAGTAAACAACACAAAACATCAAATCCAAATTTTCAGATCGAATTCCGTGGTCGACCGCTAGATGATATTCGAAAGTTTTTGGTTGTTTTTTTTGTTTATCCGCCGCGCCGGGCTTCCCCTGCGGCGCCTCCGGCGGCGCCCCTGGCGCGCGGTTCCAGTGCAGATCCAAGAAATCCGCGCGGAGTGCCACAAGTTTATGTTTATGCCGCTTGTTCTTTCTGTAATCCTGAATCGTCGAGCCCAAAAAGCACGCGCGAAGCCGGAAAATGCACGGGGAATGGACGTCCGAGCGATGGCAGGGTTCGTGCCGCTAAACTACAACAGTCTACATAGGCCTCGTGGGTGGGGTTGAAGCAAATGGGGTCGGAGGATCGCGTCACATCGCCGATGCATCGCCGATGCGGCTCGATGTGGAGCCCGTAATATCGCCACGCCGATGGCACCCATGTATCGCCGACGTCGCCGATGCATTGGCGATGCGAGGCGATCTTCCGACCCCATCTAATCGGATCCCATTTGGGAGGCCCAAAGTCCGCCATTGTTCCTGCCGCTGGGTCCCGGGGTGGGTTGGCCGGCTTGCCCGTTCTGGGGTGGGGTGCCTTGGCCGACTTGGCTGCGGCGGCCTCCTGCCGTAACGCCGCGCATCCTGCGTGAGGCGTCGCCTCCTCCTTATCTCGAGGAAATGATGTTAGTTTGATTTGTGTTGCGTCTCTGGTGTGCTACGTTCTCGAGGATCCTCGTCGCGATCTCCGCACTTCTCCACCTCCTCCACAATTGCAGAATCCGAATACTATCTTCCCCTCTGCCCCGAAGATGGCAGGGGAGTAGCCCGCCCCTTCCGCGCCGCGTACTGGTTGATTTTACCCGCATGTTGGCATTATTTGGTCTCCCTCTCTCTCTCTCTCTGTCTATTCGTTTCGTTCGGAACGTCTTCCGTGTCCCCATGGTTTTGCCGCCGCCGCTGCAGTCTTGGCCTCAACTCAGGCTCGGCCCCTTGTTCCCGTCGTTCAAAAGGGCGCTCTCGCCCCAGCGCGAGTTCTGAATCCGAGTCTTTCCTGATTTCGGGGGCGGCCAAGAGGGGAGTGATGACTAGGGGGGGGAGATATCATGGCGGGGACATGATATTTCCCCATATTCCATGGCGCCTCTTCTGATTTCATCACGTCCCCGGCTTTCCCCCCTGGGCCGCGCACATGCCGCCGGTCATGATTTGCGCCCCCCCTCTTGGACGCCCCCCTCCTGGACGCCCCCGACGATTGTTGTGGCCTCCCTCCTTTCCCCTCCGCCGCCTTCCCCTGGCCCCCTTGCTTCTCCCGCTCCTTCCGCTCCAGTTCCCGCTGCTGCTGCTCGTCGTCGTCCATTTGCTCCTGCTCCTCCTTCTTTTTCGCTCCTGCTCGTCCTCCTGGTCCTCCTCTTCTTCCTCATCCTCTTCCGCCCCACTCCTCCTTTATACGCAGCTCCTCTTCTCCCGATTGCGCACGCCGCGGTGGGGTCTTTGGGCCTTCCGTGTCCGCTGTGGCACGCGTCCGCGGATAGAGAAACATCAGCGCAATGGGAAGGGAATGGTGGGAGGGGTAGGATGTGAGAGATGGCGCGAGCACACCTAGCTCGTCCTCCTCCCCCTCTCCTTCCTCCTCCGCCCACTCGTCCTCGATCCTCCCTTCTCCTCGATCCTCCCTCTTCACCATCCTCCTTCCCCTCTTCGTCTCGCACCCGCGGCTCCTGCCCGCAGGCCTGCAGTGGTAGCGTCGTCAAGCTGCAGGGGGCCGAAATCAACGTGCTAGAAAGCGTCGGCAAGGTCCTCCCCGCTCTGCTCTCACGGACCTGTCTTGTCGCTCCTTTCCTCCCTCCTCGGCCTCGTCCTCGCCCTCGCAGGACTCCTTCTGCTAGCGGTATGCTTCAAGCGACGTGAACCGAGGGATATTCGGTGATTGTTGCCAAACCGCCCAGCGCACCATTTTGCCATCAGCCTCTGAGTTTGGTCTTCGACGCGAGCCACCTTTCTCGAGAATCGAACGCGTCGAACGCTCCCTCCTCATCCCCCGCCCTTCTGCTTGTTTTACCTTGAGTTGCTACTGCTGCGTCTGACACGGTTTCAGTGTTCCGCTCTTTCTTTCTCTTTTTTTCTCGGCCAACATCGGTGCATGCACGTATCCGCATACATATTCATATGCACATGTACGTACGTATACTATTCATAATCTACGTATACATGTACATATACGTATGCATTTGCATCTACACATTCATAGACATGCACATGCATATTTGCACACATATATACGTACTCATACGTACATTCATAACCATGCACATGCATATACACCTAATAGATTCGTATGTGTACATCTGCTTTTACTTGTACACAAACGTATACACTGACACATATATATATATATATATATATATATATATATATATATATGTGTGTGCATGTTATTGCACCTATCCATGTACACATACGTGTACACTTACATGCACATGGGAATTCATGTGCACGCATGCATATGCATGTATGTATAATATGTACATACATCTGCACGACCATTTACACATACATATTCATGTATACACATGATTATACATGCACATGCACAACTATATGAATACATACACATAGATGCACACACATATCTACTGGCATACGTGTATACATTACATCAGACACATGCGTATGCATGAATTCGCATTCATACACAAACATCTACAGTTCACATGCGTGTTCATTCACATATGCAAATGCGCATGCTCATATACGCATACGCATGCACATACATGTACATTAACATGTAGCTTGCCAAAGCCATATCCGTGTACAACACATATCATATTCATATATGTTTACACATTCAGTTGCATACACATATACACATGCATACACGTATACGCATACACATACCAACACCTACACGTATGCAGTATGTGCTTCACAAACATATACACATGCACATGCCTATACACATGCACGCTACATGTACATATCCAAATGCATAGATGCATGCATACACATTTACCTCTACATATACAGTTTCATCTGCAGATGTATACACATATGCGTACACATCTACACATCCATATGCATATGCAGGGACATATGCCAAGTAGTCGTCGTCGTGGTCGGTCCCCTGTCCGTCCCTCTTGGGGTCGGGTCGACGGTCCGCGGCAGCCCCGCCGCTTGCCGGGGCCCGGTCTGCAGGGAAGAAAGGTATACCCCCCCATAGGGGGTTCGATCGAAAACGAAGAGGGCGGGTATCGAGGGTTTGGGAAATACGCGTTATTGGACACTCGAGCAGATGGGGGCGAACAGTCTTAAATGATTGTTGTTGTTGTTGCTGTTGCTGTTGCTGTTGTTGCTGTTGCTGCTGTTGTTGTTGTTGTGGTTGTTCTTGAATTTCCGCTTCTGAAGAATAATTGTTGTTGATCCCCCCGCTGGTGCATACTGTTTTTTCTCCATCAAAGAGTCCCTCGACGCTCGCACTCGTTTTTTTTCTCAGGGAAAGTCTTGAGGCTCAAACTGGGCCCCTGGCCCCCGGGTTACAACAACAACAACAACGGCTCCCGCTTGATATTTCTCTACAATTTAGCCAGGACCCCTGCTCCCGCCCGAGACTTCCTCGCGTTTTATGCAGGAATCGCGCTCTCGCTTGGGACGTCCTTCCAGTTTATTCAGAAATCGTTCTCCCGGCGCTCTGGAGTCGCACTCTCGCTGGAGATGTGCTTGCAACTTATTGAAGACTAGCGCCCTTGCGTGGGAATTCCTTGCAATTTACTCTAGCGCCGCGCTCCCGACACCCAGGCACCCAAGAGTCGCGCTCACGCTTAGGACTCCCTCACGTATTACCTAGGAATCGGGATCTCGCTGCCCATCGTGGCCCCGTTGCAGCCCTTCGTGGCCCCCTCGCTTTGTTTCGTGGCCCCGTTGCAGCCCTTCGTGGCCCCTTCGCTGCCCTTCGTGGCCTCGTTGCAGCCCCTCGTGGCCTCCTCGCTGCCCTTCGTGATCCCGTTGCAGCCTTTCGTGGCCCCCTCGCTTTGTTTCATGGCCCCGTTGCAGCCCTTCGTGGCCCCCTCGCTGCCCTTCGTGGCCCCGTCGCAGCCCTTCGTGGCCCCGTTGCAGCCCTTCGTGGCCCCCTCGCTGCCCTTCGTGGCCCCGTTGCGTCCCTTCGTGGCCCCCTTGCTGCCCTTCGTGGCCCCTTATATGTATGCCCTTCGTGACCCCCGCTCGTTCGCGCCCGTGGTGGCCCCATATGCATGCCCTTCGTGGCCCCGCTGTCGCCCTTCGTGGCACCCCTCGCTGCCCTTCGTGGCCCCGTTGCTGCCCTACTGCCCCGTCCTTGCCCTCCGCGGCCCAGTATACGTATGCCCTCGTGCCCCTCCCCCCCGCTCGTTCGCGCCCGTTGTGGCCCCATGTGCATGCCCTTCGTGGCCCCGTTGTCGCCGTTGGTGGCCCCCTCATTGTCCTACGTGGCCCAGTTGCTACCCTCAGTGGCCCCATCGTCGCCTTCTGTGGCCCCACATTATCTGCCCCTCGTGGCCTCCGCTCGTTCGCGCTCTTCGTGGTCGTGGCCCCATACGCATTCCCTTCGTGTCCCGCTGTCGCCCTTCGTGGCCTACTTCGTGTGCTTGTGGCTCAGCTGTCGTTCTCTCTCGCTCTCGCTTTCGCTCGTCGTCGTCGTCGCCGTCGTCGTCGCCGTCGTCGTCGACGTCGTCGTTCGTCGTCGTCGTCGTCGTGGTCGGTCCCCTGTCCGTCCGTCCCTCTTGGGGTCAGGTCGACGGTCCGCGGCCGCCCCGCCGATCAGCGCTGCCGCTGGCCAGGTCGACGGTCCTCGGCCGCCCCGCTGCTTGCCGGGGCCCAGTCAGCAGGGAAAAAAAGGGGTTCGATCGAAGACGAAGAGGGCGGGTATTTGGACTCGAGCAGATAAGGGCAAACAGTCTTAAAATGATTGCTGTTGAATTCTCACTTCTGAAGAATAATTATTGTTGATTCCCCCCGTCTGGTGCACATTGTTTTTTCGATTGAAGTGCCCTTCCCGGGGCTCGCACCCGTTTTTTTTATCAGGGAAACTCTTGAAGGTCAAACTGTGTCGCTGGCCCCCGGTTTACAAAAACAACGGCTCCCGCTTGTTATTTTTTCACAATGTATTGAAGAATGGCGCTCTCGCTTGGGACTTCCTTGCAAGTTGCCACCGGATCGCGGCTTCCGCTTGGTATTTCCTTACAATTTATTGAAGAATCGTATTCTCGCTTAGGATTTCGTCGCAACTTGCCACCGAAACGCGGCTCCCGCTTGATAGTTCTTCACACTTTATTCAGATGCCGCTCCTCGACATTCAGGAATCTCTCGCTACATATTGCCTGGCGGTTCAAGCTGAATCTACGCTTCAACGAACCTCCCGCTCGACCCGCCCGTCTGGGCTTGCCCGCCCGACCAACCCGTCAGGGACTGCAGTCGCCGTTCGCTGCCCTTCGCCCGCCTTCGATGCCCCTCGCTGCCCGTATTGGTTCCTCGGTCGCCTTCGCTCGCTGCCTTTCGTGGCCCCGTTGCTTCCCTCAGTGGCGCCGTCGCTGCCCACTGTGGCCCCGCATTCTATGCCCTTCGTGGCCCCCGCTCGCAGTCGCCCGTCGTGGCTCCATGTGCATTCCCTTCGTAGCCCCGCTGTCGCCCTTTGTGGCCCTCTCGCTGCCCTTCGTGGCCCCTTTGCTGCCCTCAGTGGCCCCGCTGTCGCCCTTTGTGGCCCCATATACGAATGCCCTTCGTGGCCCCCGCTCGTTCGCGCCCGTGGTGGCCCCATATGCATGCCCTTCGTGGCTCCGCTGTCGCCCTTCGTGGCCCCCTCTCTGCCTTCGTGGCCCCGTTTCTGCCCTCAGCGGCCCCGTCGCTGCCCTCTGTGGCCCTGGATTACTTGCCCTTCGTGGCCCCCGCTTGCTTTTCTCCCGATTCACTTGGGAATCGCGCTATCGCTCGAGATTTCTTCGCGATTCGTGCAGGACCCACGCTTCAGCAACCCGCCTGCTCGACCTCGTCGCTTGGGTCCGCCTTCCCGACCTTCCCGCTATGGGTCTGCCCACCCGATCTGCCCGTTTGGTTCTACCACTTGTTTTCTGCTCCTTGCCCCCCTCCTGCTAATTTCTCTCGTGCTCCATTCTTCTCACTCCCCCTTCCACCCGTCCTCTCTTCCCTTGTGTAAGGGGCTGCGCAAAATACACGTGGCAGGTAGGAAGAGATACCCCCAAGGGGTTACGATCGAAGACGACGAGGGCGGGTACCGAGGGCTTGGGATTGGCACGTGAGCAGAGCGGAGCGAACAGTCTTAACGTTGTTGTGGTTGTTGTTGTTGTTGTTGTTGTTGTTGTAGTTGTTGTTGTTGTTGTTCTTGTTGTTGCTGTTGTTTGTTGTTGTTGTTGTTGTTGTTGTTGTTGTTGTTGTTGTTGTTGTTGTTGTTGTTGTTATTGTTGGTGTTGTTGTTGTGTTATTCTCTATCTCTCTCGCTTTCATGGGTTGTTTTCCAATATTTTGTTGGTTATTTCTCTCTCTCTCTCTCCCTCCCTTTCTCTCCCTCTCTCTCTATATCTACAGGTCTCCATTCTTCCCCCTCTTCTCCGCTCATCTCCCTTCCTTTCTACTCCCCCTCGCCTCTCTGCCTCCTCCTGCCTGCACCCGCATCCCTCGCCTTCCCCATTTCTTCACATCCCCCTTCCTTCTTTCCTCCATCAATTGTTCGACCCCTCCCTACTTCCCCTCCTCCGTAGCAGGTTTTGTATAAGCAGTCTAGATACATCGCTCAGGGAATTTTGTTTGCC